CCCATAGAGTGTAGGGTCCAGTCATTAAAGTGGGACCTACACGTGTTCCTTCATCGACCTACAATTTGGTTTGAGACGTTTCTTTCTCTTGTTATTGTTGATCAACTGTTTTTCTTTTGTTGGAGATTCTGATTTATTTTGTTTTGTGGTTAATAATAAGTCGAAATTAAGACTGATTTTATAAAGCTTTAGAAATTTGGATTTTCTTATCATTAAAGTTGTTTACAAATAACCAAAAATAACTAAAATCGTAAAAAAAAAAAAATGATTCTTCAAAAAATATTATCTAGAGTTCATTTTTTATCACCAAACCACCACTATTTGATTAGGTTAAAATCAAGTTTTGGATTAACCAATTATTATCGTTTGGTTAGTTTTCACTATAAACAATCTTGTGATATTTTAGCCAAAAAAAAAACAATCTTGTGATACAAACACTTACAAATACATTAGAGAATCTTGGTAATTACTAGAGTCAAATATATATTGGTAGTTTGTTCGATGAACAAGAGTATTGTGTGGAAGAATAGTTGTATTATTTGTAAAGAAAGTTTATTTTGTGAGAGATGGATGGAAACTATTCCTTTTGTTGTGTAATAAAATATAGAAAAAATGAATAGTGAAAGAAAGAGACAAAGAATCAAAACCTTGTGGATTTGTGAACAACACTTTATTGACCCACCAGCGCATAATATTGATTAGCTTTTTCTTATTTTTCTCCCCATTTCAAATCACTTTTCTTTTTTCCTTTTCTTTTTTCTACTCAAGATTTTGTCTTCATTTGAACGGGATGTGTTCATAGGATTTGAATGGTGGCTACTTGAAGAATAAGTAAAATAGGGGAAAGAAAATGAGTGGCGTAAGTGCAATAGAATATGATAATAAGAAGACTGAGATACAACAATAATATTTGATCAAGTAATTAAATCTTCCGCTAGTGAGAAGTTATTGGAGTTCTCATAAATTGTATGTTATTTAGCATTTTAAAGCGATTTTTGTTACGAAAATAGATAAAATATTTACCGATGGAAAAATATATGAGTTTAGACCGAAAATTTGTAGATATGTTTCTATTTATATACTCATGATGAGTAGGATGTGTTTTCAAAACTAAAATTAGAATTAGCGAGAAGTTAAAGTTGAAAATATTGATCAAACAACTACTCCACATAAAAGAGAAGTGCATTGACATAAGCCAATGAATTAAGTTTCTTGGTAATAAAAAGGTGATTTAATTAATCTTGTTTCTCCAATTCCACTAATTTATGTTGAATCTACTCTCTCTCTCTCTTTTATGCAGATGGTGGCCATAATATTGTATTTATAATGGACCAGTTAGAGTTTCAATTTGACATTATATACGAAAGCAATGATTAGTGGCCATTGTTTTGTGGGTTACGAAAAATATTTAAATCATACTAATATTTGTCTTAATTTCAGCAATAAGAATAGTATTATTTTGAACATTGTTGGACCTCAACGCTCTAATCATGGTGGGCTTAGTGAATGATGCTTTATTTGTCTGCAAAGTT